GTGAGGCCCTAAGCAACTTGTCGAGACCCTGTCTCAAAATAAAAAAGAAAAAGGGCTGGGGATGTGGCTCAGTGGTACCAAAATCCAAAATAAAAAAGAAGACCCAGTTAGAGTTGAATTTCAGAGATGATATTTTAATGTAGGTTTGCCCCTTTCGGTTTTCACAGCAGGCAGCTTGGGTGCCTCTGGCCATCCCAGCCCCTGTGCAGCCCTTTGTAAGAAAGTTTGAGGTCCATTTTCCATGAGACGGAACTGAGGCTCCAAGAGGTTAAATAACTTTCCCAAGACACCTGAGATGGATCTGCAGCCACCTGACTCCAAAGTCCCCCATGTGAGGCCTCTGGTGGCCTCAGACCTGGAGCAGGGCCTGGCCCTGGTTACGGGGAGGCCCACCTTAGCCAGGAGGTATGATGGGGGCCTGAGGGACGGGGAGGGGGGCTGAGTCCCTGGCACAGGTGCCCGCCAATCACCTTGTGCGCGCTCTCTCTCTCTCTCTCTCTCTCCCTCTCTCCCTCCTCATTCCCCTGACCCTCTCCAGGACGTCACATGGGCCCTTCCTGAGGATGGGCCTGAATCCCTGCTGCCTCCAGGAAGACTCTGCCTCTAACACTCGGCCTCAGCAGCCCTGTGGGAGAGCAAAAGGAAGAGGGCTGCTGGGCAAGGTCCCCGCGTGGGATTTATCACAAGTCTGAGGTCTCTGACGAGCTCAGAGCAGAGACCCTGGAACCCAGCCACAGATGCCTGGAGAGATTTGGGGGTGCCCCGTGGGAGAGTGGAGCCCGAGAGGAGCCCTCTGCAAGAGGAGCCGAGAGCGTCGAGTGTCGCCGATGTGAAAGGTCAGTCTCAGGACCTGGGACGGAAACAATCTTGCCTTTGAAATAGACTCAAGGATCATGCAGTTAAGAGCTTTCCAGAAAGCCTTGGGGCAGAAAGAGATGAGACTAGGTTGTGATCCTTGAAAGGGAAGCTGCACCTGTGGTCTCCTACCGCTGGGCACAAAGACAATGAATGAAATATTTGCTCAACACAGGCTCCCCGGATGCCTCTGGCACACAGGAGCACTTTTACCCATCCCAAAGGAGGGGTTGAAAAAAGAAGGAAAGAAGAGGGTGGTCCAGGATGTTGGCTAGCTTCTCGCTGAGCTCTCTCGTTTGTGCCTGGTTGAACAAACCAGCCAGGAGCTGGAAGGGAGGCTGCAAATGTCAGATGGGTGGTGTCTTAGTCCATTTTTTTGTGGCTATAACAGAATACCTGAGACTGGGTGATTTATAAAGAAAAAAGGTTTATTTGGGCTCATGGTTCTTCTGGTGAGGACTTGTGCTTCGTCAACTCATGGTGGAAAGTGAAAGGACAAGCAGGAGCATCTGCAAGAGAGAACCCAAGGGCATAAGGTGCTCCCCAGCCCACCTCCCAGTCTTGGTGGTGACCACCTACACTCAGGACACACAGACAGAGTGGGCAGTGAGGGGGAGTTTGCCTGAAAGGAGAGGAAGCCAGGAGAGGGAGGTTCCTTCCACAGAATCTAAAATGCAATTTGCAAAGTGGGTGAGGCTGTCAGCGAAAATGCCGAGGCACCCCAAGACCTCGGGAAGATCCTGGGAGAGACTGACAGGAGAAAGCCCCTCCCACGAGGACCGGCCACACCTGGCTCCCTGGGACCCCATGGCTCACTGTGAGGTGAGGCC